TGCTTTGTTGTCCCTTAACAATTCCAATGTATGCTTAGGGTCATTGTCCTGCTGGAAGGTGAACCTCTGTCCCAGTCTCAAATCTCTGGAAGACTGAAACAGGTTTCACTCAAGAATTTCCCTGTATTTAGCGGCATCCATCATTCCTTCAATTCTGACCAGTTTCCCAGTCCCTGCCAATGAAAAACATCCCCACAGCATGATGCTGCCACCACCATGCTTCACTGTGGGGATGGTGTTCTCAGGGAGATGAGAGGTGTTGGGTTTGCGCCAGACATAGCATTTTCCTTGATGGTAAAAAAGCTCAAAGAGTACCTTCTTCCATATGTTTGGGGAGTCTCCCACATGGCTTTTGGTGAACACCAAACGTGTTTGCTTATTTTTTTCTTTAAGCAATGGCTTTTTTCTGGCCACTCTTCCGTAAAGCCAGCTCTGTGGAGTGTACGGCTTAAAGTGGTCCTATGGACAGATACTCCAATCTCCGCTGTGGAGCTTTGCAGCTCCTTCAGGGTTATCTTTGGTCTCTTTGTTGTCTCTCTGATTAATGCCCTCCTTGCCTGGTTCATGAGTTTTGGTGGGCAGCCCTCTCTTGGCAGGTTTCTTGTGGTGCCATATTCTTTAAATGTTTTTATAATATATTTAATGGTACTCCGTGGGATGTACATTTTTTTTATAACCCAACCCTGATATATACTGAGATCTCAGTGTATATATACTGAGATCATGTGACAGATCATCTGACACTTAGATTGCACACAGGTGGACTTTATTTAACCAATTATGTGACTTCTCAAGGTAAATGGTTGCACCAGATCTCATTTAGGGGCTTCATAGCAAAGGGGGTGAATACATATGCATGCACCACTTTTCCGTTATTTTTTTTTTTCATTTCACTTCACCAATTTGGACTATTTTGTGTATGTCCATTACATGAAATCCAAATAAAAATCAATTTAAATTACAGGTTGTAATGCAACAAAATAGGAAAAACGGCAAGGGGGATGAATACTTTTGCAAGGCACTGTATGTCAAATCTAAAACCAAGGGAATTGTATCTGTTGCAAAAATTGTTGAAGATACAAACAAACCCTTGAAGATTTGTGAATCATGGAATAATTACTTTCCAGTACTAGAGGGAGACATTGAAACTATGTGGAGGAACATACAGGGAGACATTGAGTGGGAAGCTATGTGGAGGAACATACATTGAGCATCTCGGAACCCTAGTCACCAAACAGTTCATTTCAACTTAATTCATAGAACTTGTGCTATTCCACACAAAATATATAAAATGTCTTTAGCACCCTCCCCTTTATGTACCTTCTGTTCACAGAAGGCCATCGGCTCATTTATGCATGTAATGTGGAATTGTTCTCAAGTTGATTTTTTTGGAAAAAGATCACTTTATCCCACAATATTCAGAGTCTGTATCGCCGCTTGGTACGGCAATTGCACCGTCCGCAACCACAGGGCTCTCCAGATGGTGGTGCAGTCAGCCCAACGCATGTACCGTGTTATTGATAATGATTATCATGTGATATGGACGTTCGCTGACAAAGTACAGTGAGGGAAAAAAGTATTTGATCCCCTGCTGATTTTGTACGTTTGCCCACTGACAAAGAAATGATCAGTCTATCATTTTAATGGTAGGTTTATTTGAACAGTGAGAGACAGAATAACAACAACAAAAAAATCCAGAAAAACGCATGTCAAAAATGTTATAAATTGATTTGCAATTTAAATAAGTATTTGACCCCCTCTCAATCAGAAAAATTTCTGGCTCCCAGGTGTCTTTTATACAGGTAACGAGCTGAGATTAGGAGCACACTCTTAAAGGGAGTGCTCCTAATCTCAGCTTGTTACCTGTATAAAAGACACCTGTCCACAGAAGCAATCAATCAATCAGATTCCAAACTCTCCACCATGGCCAAGACCAAAGAGCTCTCCAAGGATGTCAGGGACAAGATTGTAGACCTACACAAGGCTGGAATGGGCTACAAGACCATCGCCAAGCAGCTTGGTGAGAAGGTGACAACAGTTGGTGCGATTATTCGCAAATGGAAGAAACACAAAAGACCTGTCAATCTCCCTTCGCCTGATGAGACCAAAATCGAGTTATTTGGCATCAACTCAACTCGCCATGTTTGGAGGAGGAGGAATGCTGCCTATGACCCCAAGAACACCATCCCCACCGTCAAACATGGAGGTGGAAACATTATGCTTTGGGGGTGTTTTTCTGCTAAGGGGACAGGACAACTTCAACGCATCAAAGGGACGATGGACGTGGCCATGTACCTTCCATCAGCCAGGGCATTGAAAATGGGTCGTGGATGGGTATTCCAGCATGACAATGACCCAAAACACACGGCCAAGGCAACAAAGGAGTGGCTCAAGAAGAAGCACATTAAGGTCCTGGAGTGGCCTAGCCAGTCTCCAGACCTTAATCCCATAGAAAATCTGTGGAGGGAGCTGAAGGTTTGAGTTGCCAAACGTCAGCCTCAAAACCTTAATGACTTGGAGAAGATCTGCAAAGAGGAGTGGAACAAAATCCCTCCTGAGATGTGTGCAAACCTGGTGGCCAACTACAAGAAACGTCTGTCCTCTGTGATTGCCAACAAGGGTTTTGCCACCAAGTACTAAGTCATGTTTTGCAGAGGGGTCAAATACTTATTTCCCTCAATAAATTGCGAATCAATTTATAACATTTTTGACATGCGTTTTTCTGGATTTTGTTGTTGTTATTCTATTTGTCCAATGCTGTTTATTCTGCCGATTTATTGAATACATCATTTTTTTAAATCCTCCCATCAGGCACTATTCCCAGCCACAGATAACTGCTTATCGTTGGAGAGACAGTTCTGGAATTTGCTGGAAATGACTCTCACACACACCGTCACACACACGTACTCATACACACACCGTCACACACACGCACTCATACACACACCATCACAAACGCACTCATACTACACCGCCACACACACACACACCGTCACAAACGCACTCATACACACACCGCCACACACACACACACACACACACCGTCACAAACGCACTCATACACACACACACACACACAATGGAACATTATCCAGAGCATGCCCCTGTGTGTTGTAAAATCATTCACAGGGAATCAAATTTAAATCATTCACAGGGAATCAAATTAAAAACATTCACAGGATATCAGACAGTTACTCTCTTTCCATACTTCTTCATACCACTCACTCACCCTCCCCTCCTTCCATTCCTTCATTCCTCCCTCTCTCCATCCCCCCTCCCTCTCTCTTTCCCTCCCTCCATCCCTCATTCTTCATGTTTTGGTTACTGGTGACAATCAATCCCAGCATTCCATGGTTTGGCCCCCCCTCCTCCCCCCTCTGGCTCCCCCTTCCTCCCCCCTCTGGCTCCCCCTTCCCTTCCCCTCTAGCTCCCCCTTACTCCCCCCTCTAGCTCCCCCTTCCTCCCCCCTCTGGCTCCCCCTTCCTCCCCCCTCTAGCTCCCCCTTCCTCCCCCCTCTAGCTCCCCCCTCCTCCCCCCTCTAGCTCCCCCTTACTCCCCCCTCTAGCTCCCCCTTCCTCCCCCCTCTAGCTCCCGCTTCCCTTCCCCTCTAGCTCCCCCCTTACTCCCCCCTCTGGCTCCCCCTTACTCCCCCCTCTAGCTCCCCCTTCCTCCCCCCTCTAGCTCCCCCTTCCTCCCCCCTCTAGCTCCCCCTTACTCCCCCCTCTAGCTCCCCCTTCCTCCCCCCTCTAGCTCCCCCTTACTCCCCCCTCTAGCTCCCCCTTCCCTTCCCCTCTAGCTCCCCCTTCCTCCCCCCTCTGGCTTCCCCCTCCTCCCCCCTCTAGCTCCCCCTTCCTCCCCCCTCTGGCGCCCCCTTCCCTCCCCCCTCTAGCTCCCCCTTCCTCCCCCATCTAGCTCCCCCCTCCCTCCCCCCTCTAAGCTCCCCCCTTCCTCCCCCCTCTGGCGCCCCCTTCCTCCCCCCTCTAGCTCCCCCTTCCTCCCCCCTCTAGCTCCCCCCCTCCTCCCCCCTCTAGCTCCCCCTTCCTCCCCCCTCTAGCTCCCCCCTCCTCCCCCCTCTAGCTCCCCCCTCCTCCCCCCTCTGTCTCCCCCCTTCCTCACCACTCTTGTGACTCCAAGACACGGCTGGACAGCTGTGTGTGTGTGTGTGTGCAAAGCTGTCATCAAGGCAAAGGGTGGCTACTTTGAAGAATTTCAAATATGAAATATATTTTGATTTGTTTAACACTTTTTTGGTTACTACATGATTCCATATGTGTTATTTCATAGTTTTGATGTCTTCACTATTATTCTACAATGTTAGAAAATAGTACAAATAAAGAAAAACCCTTGAATGAGTAGGTGTGTCCAATCTTTTGACTGGTAGTGGATTTACCCCCACTCTTTCTCACAAAACCCCACTGCACTGTCGGGGCCTGTAGGCTGTTTTCCCTTGTGGAGGGCAAGCCAAGTTTTTCCATTGTCACATCCCATTCCCATCGGAATAGAAGGTTTACTAAAGTCAAAATGACTGAATTATACCATTTCCTGTTCCATTCTTCCTCGTTTCCCATTCTCCAGTGTTCCATTCTCAATGATCTTTGTTTTATATCATGTTCCTGAGGACTTTAGCACATTTCCATTTGAATCGGCAACATCTAATCCATCTCCTCTACATTGTCCTTCAGGGCATGTGTTATACAGTACAATCCTTTGTTCTTATTCTTGTCCATGTTCTCTTGGTCCTCCAAAAAATTTAACCCATAAAGCACCTGTATTCGTCTTCAGTGGGCACACGGCTCATTCCTAGTCACAGAACCAAACGTCTCTGTTTTCCTCATACATAGTGCTTAGTGTGTTTGTGGCTGTGTCCCTTCTGGGCACCCTTACTGTGTTTGTGGCTGTGTCCCTTCTGGGCACCCTTACTGTGTTTGTGGCTGTGTCCCTTCTGGGCACCCTTACTGTGTTTGTGGCTGTGTCCCTTCTGGGCACCCTTACTGTGTTTGTTACTGTGTGTGTGTTGTGTGTCGTGTTGCTCTCCCTGAAGAGTGTGTAGTCCTCATAGCCCCCATATAGTTCAGATAACTGGGGAGCAGGTCACCACCAGGCTCCATCCCTGCTCCCGACACCGGGTCCACATGACTCTCACTGGGCTTGGCGTAGCTGGCCTCGCCCATGGGTAAATACAGATGGCCCTTCTCCTGGTAAGGCGGAGCTCGCTGCATCTCCATCTCCAGCCCTGAAGCCCCAGGCCGGACTCGGACCCCAGCTATGCCAGGAAAGGTGTACTGCTCCTGGGCATAGCGCTTCTCCAGGTGGTGGGTGATGGCTAGCTGGAAGAGGTGGAGGAGCTCTACCAGGTTGAGAAGGAGAGAGACTCCAGCGATGGCCTGGGTGTAGATGGTGAAGATGGTCTTCTCCGTGGGTCTGGAGACGAAGCAGTCCACCGTGTGAGGACAGGGGTCCCGCACGCACTCGAACCGGGCCGGGACGACGAAGCCGTAGAGGTACCATAGTCCGACGATGAAGCCGACCTCCAGGAGGATCTTGAGGAGGATGCTGGCGGCGTAGGCAGTGAGGAGACGGCCCTTCAGCTGAGGAGTCTCTTTCCCTCCTTTCTCCTCCTCTACTTCTAGCTCCTTTTTCACCTCCCTCTTCTTCTCCCCATCCTCCTTTACTCCTCCCCTCTCTCCTCCCTCACCACCACCCTCCTCCGTCCTCTCTTCCTCATCCTCCTGCTTGTCCTCCTCCTTCGCAGCCCTCATTGCCACATACCCAAAATAAAAAATTGTCGGAGTGGAAACAAAAATCACCTGGAGGACAAAATACCGGAAATGTGATATGGGGAAGGCTTTGTCGTAACACACGGCGGTACATCCAGGTTGCCTGGTATTACAGACGAAGTTGTCCTGTTCGTCGTCCCAGGCTGACTCTGCGGCGGTGCCCAGGACCAGCATGCGGAACAGGAAGAGGACAGTGACCCAGACACGGCCCACTCCGGTGCTATACTCCTGCCCTTCCTCCAACAGGTGCTCCAGGAAGGACCAGTCAGCCCTGGACATCCTCCGTCACCTGGGGGGGTAAGCAAGTAAACACATGAAAATACACATATACAGGTATGAGATGTTAAGTCTCCATACACAGACGCAAAGGCTTGCTTTCTCTCTATCTCTCTTTCTAACACTCACACACATACTCTCTCTCTCTTTCTATCACACAGACCGGTGAAAGGAGGTGAAACATCTGTGAATACAGGCTAGGAAAATGTGTGTGCCATCAAACATCATGTTTCTACATTATACAATGTAATAACACCTCTTTCAATTTTTAAACACCTTTGCTTTTTTTCTAACTCGGTTTGTGACTGAACTGACATCTCGTTGTGATTTTAAAAACATGTTATTTCGTAAGAACATGCCTTGAGTGATCTAACTTCTAACTCTGAAGGTTTGTAGAATAATATAAGGTTTTACTAGAGATGATGTGTGACAGACAGAACACAACGTAACACCCCTTACTAACCTTCTCCCTCTGTGAGCTCACCACGCAACCCATGTACGGTGTTTGGTCTTAAGGTCTGATATCATACAATAAACAATGAAACCCCAGCAATAGAATAAACAAAAATATGTTACTTTAGTCTTTCTGTCTGGATCATATTACGCAACACAGCTGTGTTTCAACGTATGAATTTCATTAGTGTTATATGTTTGGGTCATTTAGCAGACGCTCTTATCCAGAGCGACTTACAGTAGGAAATGCACACATTTTCATACTTTTTTCATACTGTTATATCATATTGATTTGATGAAAAATTCCTATATTTCTTAATTTAAGTCTTTTTTTTGGGGGGGGGGGGGGGGGGGGGGGGGTGCGTGCAAATTTTAGCTGACAACTCAACCAAATGTAAATCAACACGACCGTCATGTGCCCACAATGCCATAAGAATACATAAAAAAAAGACCAGTTTGGAATAAAAGCGATCCATTCTTACCTTTCAGTCGTAAAGTTGGGTTGTTCTCTTTGTTGACTTCTCCTCAGTCCTCCTACTCCGTAGTTAAGTGGTCTGTTGCAGTGGGATGCGCTTCTTTAACCAGCACCCCAGTCGGAAAAAGTGGGGAGAATTTCCCAATGCATTTTATTGGCCTGCCCACAGGAACTTGGTCCAGGAAAGGGAATGGATGAATTCTAAAACATTTATCTGTTCGCTGCGCTGCGCTGCACACCACCACCGACCTCCTAGATGGACTGTCGATAATGAAGGGTTTATTTGTTGGAAGTACTCAGCTAGAATAAGTGACAGTGCTAAAGATATCAACTTGAAGGCCTATCTTATCAAAGTTGAGGAACAGGTATAAAGCTTTCAAAACGGCCTATTCAACAGTAGATTGGACACATATTATTGTCTTTTCATTTAAGTTTATTAATTTATTCAATACCTATGAAGTTAAAGAGTTATCAACTCGTTTCGTGCAGTTTCCCGTAAATCCACACAATGGCGCCAGCCACCGCTTTTTCTAAGAAGATGACGCAGCAGCGGAATGATCTGATTGCTCCATTGATATGAGCGGTTGAACCATTGATGCTGACAAGGAGAGACACGAAATCAGTCCAGAAAATAGATCAACATCATCAGACAGAGCCTAGGACGATATTTATTTTCTTTGGATAAGATATCAGACTATTAAAACCCCCTATATGGAGACTGTTTAGTGACAAAAAAATAACGGGTTAAATACACTACATGACCAATAGTATGTGGACACCTGCTCGTCGAACATCTCATTCCAAAATCATAGGCATTCATATGGAGTTGGTCCCCCTTTGCTGCTATAACAGCCTCCACTCCTCTGGGAAGGCTTTCCACTAGATGTTGGAACATTGCTGCGGGGACTGAGGTCTGGCACTGATGTTGGGCGATTAGGTCTGGCTCACAGTCAGCGTTCCAATTCATCCCAAAGGTGTTCGATGGGGTTGAGGTCAGGGCTCTGTGCAGGCCAGTCAAGTTCTTTCACACCGATCTCGACAAAACCATCCCCAAACTGTTGCCACAAAGTAGGAAGCACAGAATCGACTAGAATGTCATTGTCTGCTGTAGCGTTAAGATTTCCCTTCGCTGGAACTAAGCGGCCCGAACCATGAGAAACAGCCCCAGACCATTATTCCTCCTCCACCAAAATGTGACGAACTGACTTGTTGGAGAGGCGGCATCCTATGACGGTGCCACGTTGAAAGTCACTGAGCTCTTCAGTATGGCCATTCTACTGCCAACGTTTGTCTATGGAGATTGCATGGCTGTGTGCTGAATTTTATACATCTGTCAGCAACGGGTGTGGCTGAAATAGCCGAATCCACTAATTTGAAGGGGTGTCCACATACTTTTGAATATATAGTGTACATGAAAATATATATATATATATAAATATCCTGATCTTTCTTATATCTCTCAGATATAGGACAGGCACTTCAGAACAAACTTCCTTTAGATAAACCCAGCTTCGACAGGGTTTAGACCCTTTTTGGGTTAAAGAAACCAATGATCTCTCTGAGTTTAATATCGCTAGCTGTAGCCTAAGGAAAAACATTTACAACACAATCAGGAATTGGCGCAAGGCCAAATGCAGAGGAGGCACAGCCTCCACTCTGCATGCTTAACATTGATATAAACTACAGCCTCATCTTAATTAGCAAATTGATTACTTAGAATTACTAACATAAACACAAGCCCTTGGTGTGGTAGTATATATAATGAATCTAAGCATCTATTTTGGCCATGATAAAGACCAGACGAAGTGAGAGATGCGGTCAGTGTTTGCATTTTGAAAGATAAATGGCCCTGCAGCCGAATTTAAAAGGAGAGCAAGAATCGTGAGATGAAAATATATATCCATATTATTTTCCATAGGCCTAGTATTAGTTTCTCTAATTGATGATGAAGCATTGCAATATACCCCTTTCATTCGGCTATTGTGGCAGACTGTCATTCAGCGCTGCTTGTGAACAGAAGGGGAGTCTATCGCTGGCTGATAACACATCAAATATAATTGACTTCTTCTGATGTAACAGTCTGTAAATTAATTAATAGAAAGCAGATGATGTCGAGAATTTAGAATATTCTACAGAAGTGAGGCGCTCTCACACCATGAGGCTACTGGGGGCATTGGCTTTGATCCGACGGTGAAATAGATGTCTCAAATGCCACCCTGTTCCCTGTGTAGTGCACTAGTTAAAACCAGGGTCCTGGTCAAATGTAGGGCACTACATTACATAGGGAAAAGGGTGGCATTTGGAACGAAGTCATAAAGCTGTGAATGCCTTGCATTCTAAACGAGAATATTATGCTACTATTTAGAGTTGGTGTGGTGGTCTGAATGGTGTGGTGGTCTGAATCATGGTGGTCTGAATCGTGTGATGGTCTGAATCGTGTGATGGTCTGAAACGGGTGGTGGTCTGAATCGTGTGATGGTCTGAATCGTGTGATGGTCTGAATCGGGTGGTGGTCTGAATCGTGTGATGGTCTGAATCATGTGGTGGTCTGAATGGTGTGGTGGTCTGAATCGTGTGATGGTCTGAATGGTGTGGTGGTCTGAATCGTGTGATGGTCTGAATGGTGTGGTGGTCTGAATCGTGTGGTGGTCTGAATCATGTGGTGGTCTGAATGGTGTGGTGGTCTGAATCGTGTGATGGTCTGAATGGTGTGGTGGTCTGAATCGTGTGGTGGTCTGAATCATGTGGTGGTCTGAATGGTGTGGTGGTCTGAATCATGTGGTGGTCTGAATGGTGTGGTGGTCTGAATCGTATGGTGGTCTGAATCGTGTGGTGGTCTGAATCGTTTGATGGTCTGAATCGTGTGGTGGTCTGAATCGTTTGATGGTCTGAATCGTGTGGTGGTCTGAATCGTGTGATGGTCTGAATCGTGTGATGGTCTGAATCGTGTGATGGTCTGAATCGTGCGATGGTCTGAATCGCTTGATGGTCTGAATCGTGTGATGGTCTGAATCATTTGATGGTCTGAATCGTGTGGTGGTCTGAATCGTGCATGGTCTGAATTGTGTGGTGGTCTGAAACATGTGGTGGTCTGAATCGTGTGGTGGTCTGAATCGTGTGATGGTCTGAATCGTGTGGTGGTCTGAATGGTGTGGTGGTCTGAATGGTGTGGTGGTCTGAATCGTGTGGTGGTCTGAATGGTGTGGTGGTCTGAATCGTATGGTGGTCTGAATCATGTGGTGGTCTGAATCGTTTGATGTCTGAATCGTGTGATGGTCTGAATCGTGTGATGGTCTGAATCGTGCGATGGTCTGAATCGTGTGATGGTCTGAATCGTATGGTGGTCTGAATCGTGTGGTGGTCTGAATCGTGTGATGGTCTGAATCGTTTGATGGTCTGAATCGTTTGATGGTCTGAATCGTTGATGGTCTGAATCGTGTGGGTGGTCTGAATCGTGTGGTGGTCTGAATCGTGTGATGGTCTGAATTGGGTGGTGGTCTGAATCGTGTGGTGGTCTGAATCGTGTGGTGGTCTGAATTGTGTGGTGGTCTGAATCGTATGGTGGTCTGAATCATGTGGTGGTCTGAATCGTGTGGTGGTCTGAATTGTGTGGTGGTCTGAATCGTGTGATGGTCTGAATCGTTTGATGGTCTGAATCGTTTGATGGTCTGAATCGTTTGATGGTCTGAATCGTGTGGTGGTCTGAATCGTGTGGTGGTCTGAATCGTGTGATGGTCTGAATTGGGTGGTGGTCTGAATCGTGTGGTGGTCTGAATCGTGTGGTGGTCTGAATTGTGTGGTGGTCTGAATCGTATGGTGGTCTGAATCATGTGGTGGTCTGAATCGTGTGGTGGTCTGAATTGTGTGGTGGTCTGAATTGTGTGGTGGTCTGAATCGTGTGGTGGTCTGAATCGTTTGATGGTCTGAATCAAAGGTTGTTAAGTGTGTGTGTTTGTGTGTGTAGGCGAGAGAGGGAAGGTGGGGGGGGGGTGGGGGGGAGTGTGTGAGCGAGAAGGAGAGAGAGGGGGGTGGGAGAGAAACAGAGAGAGCGATTTAGTATTTGAAAACTCAGGCA